CCTCTGCGGCGCCTGCAAGGCGCTCAACCCCGGCTGGGAGGCGATCGAGACCTTGCTGGTGGGCCCGGACTTCCCGTGGGCGACGGCTCTGTCCGACGCCTTCCCCGCGGCGCAGGTGCAGCTCTCGGTCTTCCACGCGTGCTGGCGCCTGCAGCAGGAGATCCGCTGGCGCCGGAGCACCGCACCGAGAGGCTCCTGTTAAACGCCCCGAGGAACGCGGCGTGCGCGGCTTCGGAGCGCAGCCTGCGGAAGATGCGCGCCGTCCTGAGGGACTCCGTAAAAGCAGCCTTGGTGCCTCAGCTCAGTGTTCACTGGCTGCTCGATGACAAGATTTGGGCCATGCACAGACAGAGGACTTGGGTGGAAAGCAGTGACTGTTTTAAGGACCTGGAGATCATCACCTGGGACATCAACCAGGTGTTCTGCACTAGACTCTCTCTGGAGGCCCGCGTCGCTGCTTTAGCGAAGCACTACCAGAAGCGTGTTTCTAAGAGTCCTCCTGATGCTGCGACGTGCTCCACTAACCGCCAAGTTACTCAGACAGCTCTTCAGAGCCTGCCTGTCGTGAGTTCACCTCCAGCCCCCCTTGCTCCCTCAGCAGCGTGCCAGAGTAGGCCATCTGAGAGCTCCCTTTTGGCCTCTCCCAGCACAGTGCTGGCTCATCAGAAATGGCTGGTGCAAAGCTCTCACAGCTGTGAAGAATCCCCTGATTGTGCTTCATGCTCCCCTGGCAGCTCCTCAGCAGCCCTTCCTTCTTCAGAGTCAGCCCGCAAACTCACAGAGTCTCATTTTCCAGAATGAGCCAGAAAGCCCTCAGACCTCGTTAGATCCATCATCTCATGCAGCTAAGCTGGAGGTTGCAGAAAACCCAGAGGGTGGCAGCAATGAGGAGACTAACCGAAATACTGAGGAGCGCATCAAGCAATCTTTGCGTGAGGTTTGCACAGAGCCTGCTGCCAGGCTGTGCCTCAGTGAGCTTGCAGTGGTTCAGAAGTCTGTACAGCGGATAGGCACCAATGAGGACACGGTCAACATACAGGTCCTTGAAGATGCCCACAAAGTGAACCAGAAGGGCCTGAACAACTGCACTTGCCACTTTAACCAGACGTTCCAGCTGCCCTGCCGGCACATCCTGGCTGTGCTGCATTCAGACTGAAAGACCTTACAGCCGGAGATGCTAAGCAAGCAGTGGCAGAAAGGACATGATGCCCGTCAGGCAGGGCAGGACGGCACTGATAGCCTCTTGGAAGTTCTGAAAAGCTCCTGGAATGAGTCTTTGGACAAATCCTTGGTAGTGTCCTTCCTTACAGCAGAGATCAGCCGGCTGCTCACCTGCTGCAGCAGTGAGGAGTTTGAGCGCAGGTGCAACACTCTCCGAGAGCTGGCTGATAGCTGGATTGGACCTTATGTTCAGGTGAAGCTGTAGCAGAGAACTGGAGCGCTGAACTGCCCTGTTCCTTTTGCAGATGCCTGTGTTGCGTGTGAAACCCTTGGGAGAAATGGGGCATCAGATATCACAAAAAAGTGATAATTCTGCTGATAACTCTACCAGTGTCATGACTTCCTTTCTTTCCCCCAGGCTGTTATTTCCCTGAGTGTTAGTATGGAACGGGCAGTTTGGGCTCCCATATCTGCTGAGCAAGTGTTGCCTTTTGCATAGAGGAGCTAAGGAACTGCATTACAGATTCCTGATGAGACTGCAATGGGCTAACCCGTTGCTGACCTAGCGAATAGGAAACATAGCTGAGAGGGAACTGAGGTTGGGGGGAAGTAGGAGTTCATGGTCTAATAGCATGGGAGAAAATTATTTGATCCACAGCCAGTGCCTGCAGGTCCTTCCAGCATCCAGCTGTTATGTGTTGTGCAACAAAGCTGATAAATGAGCCTTTTATCATTTGGAGGCTGTGTGTCTCTGAGCCAACTGTTGCTGCCCCTCCCCTGCCAGCAGGACAGCAAGGCCTCTCGCTCGCTCGTCAGTAAGGTCAGGCAGCGTTTTTAAACAGCTTCTCACAGTTTTCTTTTCTCATTTCGTTGCCCTGTGGTCAATCGAGTGAGCCTGACTGCCACCCTCAGGATCTGCTGCTTCTTAACAATCTCAGCTGCTGGCAGTGCCGTCCATGGGTCGCGAGCACAGAAGTTGATTATCTGGTTAGGGCAGCTGCTCTTAATTCCTCCTCGGAAAATGGAACCCGCCCTCCCTCCATCAACAGCTTTGTTTGCTCAGTGGAAACAGGATGAGGGAACTGCTGGAGGGGGGTCACAGCAATACAAACAGAAAACTATAGTGAAGTGGAGAATAAATGCTTTAAAGTTTGGGAGATGGGAGGTGGGAAGGAGAGGAAAAAATACCCGAAAGAGCAAACAAGTCTCAGACCCAGCCCTTAGAAGTTGCTTGCAGGCTGGGTGAGCTTTCAGTCCCTCTTTGCCAGCAAGAACAACTCCAGCAAAGGCAAGCTGGTGTGCAGGAACATGACAGACTGCATCCTGCTGCAGCAGCAGGGTACGATGGGGGAGCAGGTGGTGGAAGGAGCAGATGAAGACATAAGAAGGCCTCACTTGGTCATTGTGGTTCATTCATGCTACATCAGACTGTGTTTTCCACAATCAGTGTTTCAGGAACGCTTCTGGTTTTGGTAGGGTTAGCCCTTGGCAGGGGTAGGACTACTGCATGGTTGGGGATTTCCTCCTGGCCTAGAGTTTTGTAACGTTATCTGGTAGTATCGAATTCCTCAGTCTAAATATAGTGTAGTGTTTCCTAAAACACCTTTCTGTAAACTTAGAACTACTTGTTTCCACTTCTCAAATCATTCTGTAGGAGGGGTCTGGAAGCTGCTGTCTGTTGGCCTCCTTTGCTATCTACCTTTCTTGCAGGTGTGTGCATCCTCTCTGATTTTCAGAGAGCCCTTCCCCTCTGCCTCTTGCTCCGGATTCTCTGTCATGAAGTTCTGTGCAGCTCTAACCACGTCTTCCTCTTGGACTCCTGGCACAGGCACTGTGGGAATGCCAGCTATCATCATGGCCAGGCTGAGGATGCAGATGTTTGGAGGAGAGTCTGGTGCCAGCGCTCTGCCTTTAATATTGCTGACCTTCAAGGGCACAAGAAAAACATCTTGTGGGGGAAATTCAAATCTGGCCAGAGAGAAATCTCCACCTGGGCTGCCCAGTTCATTAACATATGTCCCACTCCTCATCTGGACTGTGGAGGCTGTTTTCAGAGAAGCGTTCAGATATGTGCCAGAGGGGCCACGAGCTTGGTTGTCTCTTCTCTGTCCCTGTAGGTAAGGCCATACAGAGCTCTCGGGGAGCGGGTGAATGTGCTGGTTGTAGCACAGGCTTTGGTAAGGTTCCCACCGGACTCCCGCACGTCCCGATCTGCTGTGGATCGGGAGCCTGGGAGCATGCTGGGCACCATGCTGAGCCTGGCCGAGAATCTTCACGGGGTGCAGAGGCGCAGGCCCTGCCCAGGGAGGAGGCGGCCTTGCTCGTGCTTTCCTTCGCAGCAGGCCTGCAAGCAGAGCCCCAGCAGGAGCGGCTGTTTCCCCGGACTGACAGGCGCTTGGGCTGCTCTGTACCCCTCGGGGCTGTCTGCTGGCATCGCCTGTAGTGGGGGGGGAAGGGGCCACACATGAGCGGACAGAGAGCGCTGCAGCCGGTCCCTCCCTCGCTCTCAAGGTGCCGGCCG